TGGAAGATATACTTTATATGGCACCAATCTAAGTGATTTTCACTGCTATGTGATCGGTATGTAAACCGGTAACACAATTTATTGGGTTTAGTTTCCTACATAAAGAAGATATATCGCAAAAACTGGTATCTGAACAATCAGTGGTATAGGAGATAAAGCTTATACAGCATAGATTTTGACGATTTTCTCAGTAGACTTTGTATTATTATTTATAAAATATCTTACGAAATTTATCGGTTTTAGCTGTTCAAATAAAGGAGTTTTGCAGTAAAATCCCATATCTGAACAATCAGATGTATGGAACATACATATATGTTATAGTCACCCGATCCTTGTTATTTTCACTGTAAGTATTCCGTTGATAATGAGCAAAAATGGTGCGAAATTTCATGTTCCTAGCTGCATAAATGGAGGAGTTATGATAAAAGACCTCATATCTGAACAATCAGTTGTATGGTGGCTACAGGTTATAGTGACCCGATCTTTGTTATTTTCACTGTAAGTCTTCTGTTGATAATGAGTGAAAACAGCGCGAAATTTCATGGTCCTAGCTACATAAATGGATGAATTATAACGAAAAATCTCTTATCTGAACAATCAGTTGTATGGGAGCTATAGGTTATAGTTACCCGATCTTTTTAATTTTCACCGTAAGTTTTCTGTTAATAATTATTGAAAACAGTGCGGAATTTCATGTTCCTAGCTATATAAATGGAGGAGTTATAACGAAAAATTATATATCTGAACAATCAGTTGTATGGGAGCTATAGGTTATAGTGACCCGATCTTTGTAAGTTTCACTGTAAGTATTCTGTTGATAATGGGTGCAAGTACTGCAAAATTTCATGTTCGTAGCTGCATAAATGCAGAAGTTATAACGAAAAATCTCATATCTGAACAATCAGTTGTATGGGAGCTATATGTTATAGTGGTCCGATTCTTCCGGTTCCGACAAATGATTAATACATTATAAAAAACAGACGGACAGACGGACAGACGGACATGGCTAAATCAACTCAGCTCGACGTTCTGATCATATAAGTATACATTTTAATGGGTCTATCTCTTTTTGTTCTGGTACTTACAAACATCGGACCAAAGTTATAATACCATTTCATGCTCATGAAAGGTATAAAAATATCATAAGCTTCACTTGTCATGGCAACAGTACCTTTTTATAAAAATCACCAATATTTTTGCCAGTTTCACAGCGATCCATTAGCGCATTTGATGATCATTGAGCACCCTGTATTGGTTGCAGTAGAAAACTGAAAGTTGGTATAGATATTACAAATATTAAGAGGAAAAAACTAAGGGTGTGCCCCGTTTTCCAGGACGAAAATTTTTTCACCCATACAAAAATTGGACCACTAAAGTCATCGGAAGCGTGGGCGCCATGATAGAGCTTGCAGTAGCAGAGCGTTTTCGCTAAAACAAAATTTCTTTCTATATACTGTTACTCCCACAATTCAGCTTAATATTCGCAATGTTTTACATGCTAAAATCTTTTTGTTAATTTTGTATTAAAATATGGCTTATAGTTTAGCAAACCCCATATAAATCCATTTAAGAAAAATCTGCAAAGTTTCAGCAAACTCGCAAACTTTTTAATACGAATTTCTAAAAAGAATTCAGGTATGCAGTTTTATGGCCCATTAATTTTTGGTATAACAATGTGCAAATTTCAAATCTCTAAAAAACCACGTTGATTTTTGAGAATTTTTTTTGCTGACTGTCCTACGCTTTTTTTTCCATATAAAAAATTTTCAGATTTTTCAACGCGAATTTTTAGACATTTGAAATTTGCACATACTTGATAATTTTTAGAATGCTTATAAAAAAGTTTGCGATTTTGCTGAAACTTTGCAGATTTTTCTTAATTTTTGTACATAGTATCTTTCTTAAATTTAAAGAGAGACGAAAAATCAATGTAGTTTCGTATTACCTGCCATTCTGCACCAAAACACTAATTAAAAAAAAAAAAAAATGGGTTGGAACGTTTTCACCTTTAGGTAGTGATATGTGCATTGGAATGGCTGGATCGATAGGCCGATATTATTTTTAATGAAAAAGTTTGTTATAAATTAAAAGTCTTTAAAATTCTGTGAATCTTTAGTGTATACTTCCTAAGCTTTGTTAATGTAAACCAACTAATTTCGTTAAAATTTTACGCTCAACAAACCTCAGCAAGCTTTCAAGCGTACCAGTCCCTTTGAATCGGGATCAAACTGTTCGAAAGTATTGCGCAGGTGGCGAGTTGAATACAAAGCTACTTTGCTGTGCTTAAGTTAATCTTTTCTATTTGCTGCAGTTCAGGATTGTTTCTTTTGCTTGGTTTCAAAGTAGTCTAAGGTTATGCAGAGGTGAAAATTTATTATCGCCTATGAAAAAGACTATCCAAATAAAGCATAGACTTTCTCACAGGAATAGTAACGGGGCACTAGGCTATTCGTCACATGGCTCCCATATTCGGAGCTCCGTATAACGATTTCCGGACAAGCGGCATGGAACGAAGAGGCGGTAGAATCCGTTAATGATGTTTCAAACGCTCGACCGGAACGTGTGAAAAGGTACTTAAGCTCTTCGTTCTGAGCAACTGGCCAGCCTAGGCAAAGTCTGTACTTTAATGACTTTAGTGATTTGCAAACGAAGGGGATGATTTGAGGACATGCAGGGCAGGGTCAGGTACTTGGGGTAAAAGCCTATGTGCTTAAGGCGTGAACAATGGGGAATTTAGTTTGGATCTTTTCGCCTTGGATCAGATGAAGCTTTCAAGAAAAAATTTCGGAAACATTAATACTGTTCTTGTGTTAAAAAGAAAGAAGTTAAATTGTCGAAATTTTTTGGATGCTCAAATCTTGAAAACTATTTAACGGATTTGGACGAAATTTTTTTTAGCATAATTTGTATTTATAGGAGTAACTAGATTGATTCATTTTAAGCTATTTCTAAAATATTTGGGTCTTAAGTTTTCTCAGTTTCAGTAGTGAGCGCAATAAGAATATCTTGCCTTTTGTATTCTCTTGCACTTAAGTATTTACTCAATAATATTTGTTTCCTCTTTTTCTTCTTTAGCATGTCATCACGTGTCTTGGAAGACTCTCCAAATGCTCAACTCGATAAGACCATTTTGGAACGTTATCGCAATTTACCATTGAAGGAGAACATTGTACAAGCCACATATGTGTGGATCGATGGCACTGGTCAAGATCTGCGTTGTAAGGATCGTACGTTAGATTTCATACCCAATGATCCAAAAGGTGAGAAACAAAAATGACTATGTACACATCAGTAGCATTTTATTAAAACAACTTGCCTCGAGATAGGCCGTTTTACTTTTATAGCAATATTTCTCAACTAATATTGCCCTTTTAATGGAATACAATTATGGATATTTTCAAGGGAAACCAATTACATTATTTAATTCATAGTCAAACCTTCTAAAATCACTTAAGTTGTTTTAATAAAATGCCGCAGTTATATTACAGTTGTAAGAAGTTAACCTTCAGTTTGCATAACTTCATATTTTTCAACGCCACGGGATAGAAAGAGTTGGCTTATCAATAAAAGTGTTGCCACTTTGATGCATTTCAAATTTCAAATGAAATGAAATGCTCAGTGCATTAAAAATTTAGTGCAGCATACTCAACCCGGCTACCTCTTGAATAGGATAAGTTCCGTAAACATGCTTAAGTATCCGTGTCTCAAATCATAGAACAGCGAGGTCTGCGTAAACAAACTCCAGACACGCACCAGTTTCTCTAGCAGATATAGGACCGCAATCCAGAGCAGATGTGAACGAATTTTGGATCCGCTTTTTACCCTATGCTCTTCTGTCACAGAGCATGCGATACCACTTCAAGCTTACCAAAGAGTCTGATAATCGTACTCTGAAGGACTTTGTTGAAAGTCCCCTCGATGTATCGACCGACCTAGCCTTGTGGTCAGCTGATTAGGTTAAGTAGCATTTTGACCAGTTTTGGCTATTTTTCTCATGTCTTTTAATTCTTTATAATTTTTTTTTTTGTAAAATTTTAGCACATTACATAACCAGCACTACAAAAATCCCCATTTCAAACTTCGTTTAAAATTTATAAAAATTAAAGAAACTTTAACAACTACACCCAAAAATTTTAAAATTTTTATTAAAAATATTTTTAGAAATGATTTACGCGACAGAAAATTTTGAAAATAACGGATTTTAAACAATTTTAAATGCAAACATCAATCGCAAATGAGTATACAAGTGTCTATGCACTTGTGTACATATGTATTTATGTATGTATGCAGGCACCTTAGGCAAAGTACCCTCAACTTTGCGGTTAACTGCATCTACTTGAACGTGCAATTGTCTATGTTAGACTAAATTCAATAACCAACAAAAGGTATTATTTTCCTCGAATCGAGAGTTTTTATAATTGCCATAGATAAAATAAAAAAAAAAAAATGTAGCCCCTTATCCTTAGGCAAGTACTAGAGATGCCAAAATATGCGGAAAATTGTGATCCCGGGAGTTTGGGACATTTTTTTTAAACATTGCCGGGATCCCCGGCTTTATCCCGGTATTCACATTGATACGCAACTTTTATGAATACGAGTAAAAATTCAATAACTGAAAGCATTTCAACATACCATGAAATAAAACGATTTAAAATTTACGATAAACTGGTTGTAAAAGTCACATATTTATTAATACAGGCAAATTTAAAGTAAAACACTTCTTTTAAATTGTATTTAAAAAACCATGTGATTGAGGAACGCATACATACATCACAAATACCAATGTAAATACCAGGTACTTTTGAAATTAATGGTGAAAAAAAAACAAAAAACAAACAAAAATATACAGAACGAAATTCTCTTTACATGTTAATTCAACTCCATAAATAAATGGCGAATGGCGAATTTTTTGCCATTTTTTCGCAATTTACTCGAAATTTTGAGGGTGTTCTGAACTGTCTAAAGGTAGTCATAAGCTATTTGAAGATAATGACCCCTATCTCCTCTATTACAAAATATTTGAACTTATTTTACCAGCACGTCGGATAAATTATAAGTTTTTCGAATTAAGGAAGTTTGAGAAGATTGATTTTAAAAATTATGTAACTTTTCCTTAAAACCTTCTGTTTCCTTTACATTAGCGTCGCTACTTGAAATTTTTACGATATTTAAAATTTTTCGGGATGCCAGGATTAATACAAGAAAATCCCGCGTTTTTCGGTACCTCAAGAACATCCCTATTAGATACGAATTAATATCTGAAGTAAGAAAATGGCACGTGTTCGAGTACACTCTTTCGATTGCTTTTAATTTTTTATTATTTTTTTTTCTCTAATGCGAACTTTTACATGCCTACACAATTAATTTATGTACGTACTTATGTATTCACGATTTTTATCGCAGCTTAGCATTTTAATCGAATACTAATTGATTATATATTTATAGCGTACTGTGTACGTACATTAGGGATGTTTCGAATGCCATATTTTTAAATTTCGGAGTGCGAATGCGAAGCCGAATACGGGACAAAAAATTATTTTTCAAATTTTGTCCACACTGTTTTCCCTGAAAGAGTATCCTTATAGTAACATCACAAATTTGTAGTATAATTTTTTCGGGATTTTTGCCCCATATAATTTGTTAAAAAAAATTCGTTAAATTTTAGTATCAGAAAGTGCAATTTTAAGTCGGTAAATGTTGGCAATTACGCTTTTTTTCAGACAAATTATGTATGTTCGGCCTTCTTTTTTGAAAGAGAAGCAAATGAGCAGCACTTTCCATTCGCACTTTATTAAACTCAATTTTAATGAGTTACAAAACTGCAACCCAATTTTTTTTCTAAAGATTCTAATTAAAAAGTTTGAAATTTTGGTGAAACATTGCAGAATTAATTTTATAGTTTTTCTTAGGAAAGGAGCTTTACTTTAATAAAATAATTAATAATAAACATTAAATAAACTAAAGAAAAATAGCCACAACTTACTAAAATGTCGGGTCTCAATTTATATTTTGGTCACTGTATGTATTCTTCGATTCGAATTACAGGCATTCAGATTAGGAAATAATAACTGTTTATAAATAAAATTGCCATTATATACCAAAATCACTTAAAACTCGTTCATAGGCAAGCCATTTTAATGAGCTGTTAAGGCTTCGGAGCGCCGAATACGGGACAAATACAGGACATTAAAAGAAATACAGAACATTTGGCGTCCCGTATAAAATAAATAAATTACCAGGACAATGGGTCAAAAANGTAAAAATAGAGGACTGTCCCGTATAATACAGGACGGATGGTCACCGTAGGAATAACGTTAAAAAAGCTATAATCAACTTAAGTCATCTTTTTATAAATTACACTGGTTTACAACAAAAATGTTCAATGGATGCCACTATCCAATTCCTATAAAGAATTGCTCGCTGATTCCGAAAATCGACATAATTTTTTATTATATGCATAAGTTTCCAAGATATTTTCAATTTACCGTTATTCAGCTTAAAACAAAAGTGGTTACACTTAATCACGTATATCTTAAGAACCAATTTAAAACAATCTTAATATGAAATACGGCAAATGAAAGCTAACAAAATTCTACATAGATCGTGCATACTTTTCGATAGCTCTGATAGCTTCTGACAAATTAATTAATCATTCCAGATTTTTTTTTATGAAAATATAAAAAAAAAACACTTTAACAGAAGAAAAATTCAAAAAAAATAACCGCTTCTGTGTCAAATTTTTTCCTTTGTGCTAAAGCCTGTTCTGTTACAAAAATATCCGGTTACTAATGAAGAAAATCGATGGATAAATAAAGAGTAATGAGTGGTCAAATGAAAATGCGCAAAGATATTTTGTATGAAATATGAGCATAAAAGCGTGCTACTCAAGAATGATAGAATACAAGATTACGCCAATCGAGCTGAGAGCAACTGGGTGTGACGCACATTATTTTGAGAATGAGAGTGTAAAGAATAATTTTGAAGAAGAAGATGAAGAGGCGAAGAAGTGGTACGACATAGTGATGTAAAACTTGGTTGAATTGTACTTACTCTTCAGCTTCTTAAATTTGAACGTACATTCGGTACAATCACATTATTTTAGGTAAATTTTGAACGTAGTAAAATATTGTTTCATGTAAATAGAAAAATTGTTATGGTACAAAAGGAAGACGTAGTCCACCAACTACCAAAAATGTATGCACATAAATATTGATGTTCTTTGTTTAGGTACGTATATCTACTTTTAGGTACAACTTTTCGGAAAATTTGTACAATATGAAAATTTAATATTCATCACTAGTGCGAAAAAATAATAATGTGACGTCAGCGAAAGGGTGGATGCTGTCAAATCGAGAAAGAGAGGACTAGTACGTGGCGTATGAGTACCTATTTAACATTATTCCTAATCTTTTCTTTCATGACACAGAACTTGTTAGTAGGAGATCCGACAAGGGCACGACTTTCACCCATCTGTTTAATGGATGAAATCTACTTTGTATGAAATTTATCGTGTTAGGAAATATTTCAGGCGTGGGTTGGCTGCAAAAGTCCTGGCCAGGATGTTTTTAATTAAATATTCAAAAATTATATATATATTTTTTTTTTAATTTTGCACTCATATGTTTAATGAACCAATAACATATGTATATACCAATCAAAAGCATAAATCCTATAGAATGTGTTAAACGGATGAGTGAAAATTACTAGTATTACCTACCTGTTCATAACTGCCAAACCGACCAGTAGGCCAGGAAAAAATATAGCCAACTCAACGTTTTCACATTCTAAAGGCTTAACACTTTGGATTGGTATATAATTTCTTCATTAAACAAATGAGTAAAAAGTTAAAAAATAATAACAATTTTTAAATATTTAATAAAAAATATCCTGGCCTGGATTTTTTCAGCCAACCCAGTCGCAAAATATTTATTAACACGTTAAATTTCATATAAAATAGATTTCATCCAGTAAACAGATCTTGCCTTTCTCAGATCTTAGGCTATGTTAGTTGTTTAATTTTTCCCCTTTTAAAATTTTATTTTTTTTTTTTTTCATAAAAAAAAAACTGGAATGATTAATTCATTTATTTATGGAAAATTTTGTTAGCTTTCATTTGCCGTTTGTTAAATTGGTTCATGAGATATAAGTGACTAAGTGGAACCACCTTTTGTTGTAAGCCGAATAACGGTAAAATTAAAATATTTCGAAAACATATCCATAGAATAAAAAATTAACTTGATTGTTGGAATCAGCGGGCGAT